CTCAAATTACATTTTCATCTTTATTTATGAAGTTTAAAGCTTAAAAAATAGTATAGATCTACTAATCTATTAAAACTTGAAAATCTTGAAAATTTACGGTCTAAAAATGCATTACAAAATACACTATTTTCAAAACTTGAAATCCATTTTTTTCTTATGTTCATGCATCTGGATGCCGAGATGATCAATTTGAGAATATTTGGGCATAAAAACAACCTCTTTTAGTGAAATTTTTGATGTGGGCTTGAATTTGATTGTTTTGAGCCTTGGCATTATATAAACTTTTTCCTGTATATAAAAATATAAATATAATTATTTAATTTTTTATGATATAACAATTTCATGATCGTCATAAAAATTTACAGGATATAACATTTGTATAGATACAACAATTGGTGCCATATTTAATTCATTAACATATTCAAAAAAAATTATAGGATAGTTTATTTATATAAGGGGCTTTATATTACCTCTTTTTTTCCAAATATAAAAAAACACGTATATATATGTGGGTCATCAGTCATCACAACGATATATAACATCACCAAGAAATATTTAAATCTATGATAGTTGAAGTGTTAAACACATCCGGAGATTTTGACCATATAGTGTACACCATCGTATATCATGCATATACCATAACGGATCCGATCAATTAAAACTTAAAACACAGCCTGTATAGCATAGCTAATCCGATCCAGGAAAGGAGTTGGGTCGTAATGGTAGCACCAAATATCTAGTTACCATGTTGTGGTTTTCAATCCTACTGATACTACTGTTACCTTCAAATAGAAATAACTCGAGAAAACACGTAACGACCTATCCTCCCCACTGAATTACCCAAAAAACTGATTCGATCCATTAACAGCAGTTCCATTAAAAACAGTTCAAATTTAAACCAATCCAGGTTTTGAAACATGCCAACCCCACATCATACAAAGCAATAACATTTTCTCTTTCAGATGTAAACCAATACTTTCTTTTTTCTAAAAAGAAGTAACATTTTTCCTTGAAAATTTAAACTACTACTTTCTTTTTTCTAACAAGCAATACCAATTTTCGTTGAAAATTAAACCAATACTTCATTTTTTATTATTTCCTTTCAAATTTGAAACTTACTTTCTTTTTTTTAAGAAGCAAGAGAAAGTATCCAATGTGATTATTTACCATATGGTATGAAAGAGTCAATCACCTTTAATTGTCAAATAGAATTATGCCTTCAACCAAAATCAAATTTTGAGAAATCCTTTTCTTGGATACAATTTGAAGAAGTGGCACATTCCTGCTCTCCTCATTCTACATTTGAGGATGAGTATTTTTTGGCCTTCTTGTAGTAAAAGTAAATGATCTTCTAGTACACAATTCGATAAGCAAATCATGTCACAACTAAGAACCTTGATCACCAGCAGATTTTCTCACCGAAATCTCCGCATCCTTCACCCACCCTCTAACTGCCTCCTCCACAGAAATGCCTTCACTTCTCCCCTAAAGCTCAATATTTTCCATGCTCCTTTGCATTTCCAAATCCGTACCTGAAACTTCCCCGACTTTTGCCGAAATTTCAACATTTTTTGGCAGTGGGTCCCCACCAAACAAGACCTGGACCTCCTCCAAAGTCCTCCCCTTAGTCTCAGGCAATGCAAACCAACAAAACACCCCCCCTAGAGCACATATCAGTGCATACATCAAGAAGCTCCCTTGTATAGTTATAGCCTTATTCAAAGATAAGAAAGTCATGGAAACCAATGTACCCACCATTCTATTCACCATAACAGCAACACTCATACCAGGACCACGAAGCCTTAAGGGAAAGATTTCTGATGCATAAACCCAAGCTATAGGACCAATTCCTACTCCATAGAAAGCCTCGTCAACCCATGCTGATACTATAGCAACCCACTTAACAACGGGACCAGGATGTGTGTTCATAGTCCACAGTGAACCACTTAAGACTAGTAAGGAGCCTCCCATGCCTATGATGCTAGTGAGGAGAAGAGGCCTTCTCCCACATTTATCAGCTAAGAGAATGGCCACAAATATGAAGACCACCTTGGTTACACCTATGCCTGAGGTTGCGGCCAAAGCCTGCAAAAAAAAAAGGGAAACTAATCAAAATAAGGATCACTTTTCAACTATTTAACATTTTGTCCTTTCTCTACGATTCTAACTCAAAATCATATGTATTCATAGATATTTTGAAAATAAACATAAACAGATGTGCTAATAGTTCATATCTTAGGTGCATTTTGACAAATTCCAAAAAAAAAAAGAAAAAAAGATTGTTAATAGTATATTCATTTTATGTGATACAAATTTGATTTACAATACGAGTTAATGCGTAGAATTTACAAAATCGAGTCAATATATATTTTTTACAAAATGGACAAAGAATTGGCATAGGCTGATGATTTTTCCAATCCTTCCATTGCAAGTGAGTCTGTCTCCATATTTGAGTCCTTATCGAAGTGTCTAAGAGGCACACTGTGGTTACCCCTTGTATGACATGATATTCAAAATTGAAAGAATAGGAAATTCAAGAGTAACAACATAATATATAATATTTGAAAATAGTTTTTTCCAGGTATTGCAGTTAATAATGGAAAATCAGAAGTTCAAGAATAACCATGTGATATTTAATCTTATAACAGTTGTGGGTGATGACTGTCAAGGATACAAAATCAGAAGTTCAAGAACAATTAGGTGATATTTAAACTTATAACATCCAAAAGAAGTATTTGCCCCAAGAAAAAGTATTTGCCCTGAGAAAAAAAAAACAATATGATAATTAAAATTTTGAAAATAACAGTTGTTGCCGATGGTTGATGATGTTATGGTGGCGGCAAATATGAGCAATGAAATTTTTTTTTTCGAAGAATTAACACAATCTCAAATGTAGCAGATACAACTATCATTTTTCAAAGATTAAAGTACAGTGGCTGTTATAACACAAATAACATGCTTAACAACAACCATAACTGAAGTACCCCACTTTACACTCTTTAATTTTATGAAATGGGGGTCTGCACTTCCCATTACACGCCATGGCAGCATGACATAATGCGCAGAGTGCTTTGCTGTTAGAGCAGTTATTGTAACGATGATTTTCGTAAGGTATGATCAATTGTTATAACTACATCGTTATTTCATGCCTAATTTCGAAGCTTACTATGAGTATTTCCCTTTTTCAACTAATTCATAGCACAGATTTAGAATATAACAGAAAGAATGGGCAGTCCTCAAGTCCAAGCCTCAGCTATCATAATTTTCATCACATAATGGAATTTTCGACGATATTTTGAGTCATACCTGTGATTTCTTCTTCATCCCGGCGCGCACAAAGATCTTCGGTGCGTACAGCGTCACCGCCTGTATGCCGCTCGCCTGCTGGAAGAAGTTCACCCCGATCGCCGCAAACAGCATCCTTAGCACACACGGTGATGGCCTCGATAGTAATTCCCCCCACCTGACACTCGACTCCTCCACCTTTGCTGCACACTCAATCTCTGCCAGCCTCTGCTCAGCAACCTCAACGTCGCCATTCGATGTCATCAAAAGCACCTTCCGTGCCTCCCCCTGCCGTCCGCGCATCACGAGCCACCTTGGCGTCTCCGGGATAAAAATCAGTAAAACAAAGATGATTAAAGCCGGCAATGCAGAGAGGCCGAGCATAACTCTCCAATTGTAACTTCTAGGCAGTGGAGCCAATACATTGTTTGATATGTAGCCGAAAAGAATGCCAATTCCCATGAAGATTTCCGTTAATGAGGCAAGAGCGCCACGGACTTCAGGGGAAGCAATCTCAGAAGCGTAGATTGGGGCTGTGACAAGGGCGAGGCCGGCAGCTGCGCCAGCAAGGAAGCGGCCCAGGAGGAGGACAGCAAAGCTGGGGGCGACTGACATGACGATGGAGGCGATGGTGAAGAGGGCAGAGGAGAGCATGAGGGTGCGGCGGCGGCCGAGCCAATTGGAGGTGACGCCACCAAGGGCGGAGCCGGGGATGGCGAAGAGGTTGATGGCACCAATGACAACCTCAAGTTTTATGTCAGAGAGGTGTAGATCATCACTCACAAAGAGCTGTGCGCCGCTGATAACACCGATATCTACAAGATTCGAACGAGATGATGGGTCTTTAATGGAAAATAGCACGTTAATTATTTAAAACTTTAAATTAACAAAGGAAGTCAAGCAGATTGTTCTTGATGACACTGAACTTAATGTTGTGCATGGAATTGGGAACAAAATAATTAAATTTAATTACCAAAAAGTCAGTCTTTCTATTTTTTTAGGGAATTAGTGCAAGCACTTATGGATTATCAGTTAAAATTAGATGTCTAACAAACCAAAATTTTCAGCCTGCAAATATCAATTGTGTCGGCCCGACCGGAACCTTACCCTCTGCACATGTGACATGTGGGAATCCCGACCCGCCCCAGATGTGACATAGGGGGACCTGGATATGGACGAGGTCGGTCCGACCCAAGAAACACTTGGGCCCTAATTCTAGGTCCAAACATGACACGCTAGGTCGGGAAGAAGGACTGATGGGTCGGATCGATCCGACCCAATATGCAATCATACTCCCAACCTAGAAGACCCAATAAGCAATCATACTCCCAACCTAGAAACTTGCCTGTGTTAATGAAAATTAACTGATTAATTGATTTATAATATTTCAAAGTTTCAACCAGTCAATACTCATGCCATGCCCACGGCTATAGAGGCAAATGGCTCTCATTGGTCAGTGAAAACGCACAAATGAAATATTAAAAAGAAAAATTCCCAAGAAATAAGCATTAAAGGAAGGAATATACACAACTGTACTATTAAAATAGAAACATTGAATTTGCAAACCCTAGAATTCCTGATTAATGAAAATTTTTTATAACAAATCAAATGTTGAAGTATAATGGAGGCTGCTTCTCAAATGGCTTGTATTCCATTCCATTCCATTAAATTCATCAATATTCAACAAAAAAAATAGAGGGAAGAAGAAAAAAAAAAGTATTGTACGTAAAAATGGAAAACAAATGTTAAAAAGCACTAAATTCTTTTGGTAAATAAAAATAATTGAGATCTTACCATAACCATCAATAATGATAATGAGACATGACAGTAACACACTGAAGGTTGCATATCTGTTGGTCCACAAGACGTGTTTGCTTCCACCCATTTTCTCTCTCTACCATAGAAAGAAGTAAAACCCTGCCTTGAATTCTCTCTCTACAATAGAGTAAAACTCCTGCTTGAACTGAATGAGATTTCTTTCTTTCCTTTCTATCTTTATACATTTTTCTCTGTAGCTTGATTGCCTTAGATTCGTTATTTTCCTTATTATTATTATCCATTTTAATTACGGATTAAGAGAATAATGGATAAAGATAATAAGAAACATAACAAATCTAAGGCAGTTAAGCTAAAGAGAAACATGGATAAAAGATAATAGGAAAATAAAGAAAACATTCGTTGTATTTATCATTATTAAGCGATTTGTATAAAAAAAAGGATAAATATAAGGCAGAAAAAAAAGATAAACATTAATAGTACATATAATCCATAATTAAGAATCTAAGATTAACTGCTTAAAATTCAAAATTCAAAATTTGAGTTCTAAGACTAAAAGTAAAAATTGATTTAGAAACTGAAACGACCCCGAAAAGGGTTAACGGTCCGATTTGATAGGAGGAGTCCGTAGAGTAAATCTTCTTTACCCCCAAATCTTGGAATAACATACCGATAAAATCATTTTAATGATTTTTTTAGCTAGTTACCTATCGCAGTACGCCTGCGCGAGCAACCTGTACACCTACTACCAGAACAAAAAGCGGTTTTGTGTTTTGGGAAATTACAAATAACCCTCAAGATTAGACTTTCTATACAAGTTACCCCAACCAACTTTGTTGCTCACTTTTTTTCCTCAAATACATCTTTCTAGCAAATACCCCCAAGTAAAAAAAAGCTACATTTTGTTTTACAAAAATACCTTTTTTCGTACATAAAAATTTAATTTTGGGGGACATTTACGTGGCCTGTAGACTCTTTGACATTGATGAACCTGTTAAACTAAAAAAAAGTGTCGGACCACTCTTTGACATTGTTGGACCTGTTAAACTAAAAAAAGTATTAGATTGCACTTTGGGCTTGTTGCCGGACCGCATGGGCCTATTGTCGAACCGCTCTTTGGCAGTGCTGGACTATATGAGCCTATTACCGGACTGTTCTTTATTAGTGTCCGACCGCCACTTTTATTTACCGGACCGATATTACACTGCCGAACCGCCCTAAAAATACGCTCGACTACCTTTTTGTGAGAAAGAAGAGAGAGAGACGTGGGTGAAAGTAAAGGAGGATAGTTTGGACTTTTTTTTTGGTTGGAGGATAGTTGTTTAGAAAGTATATTTTGGGAAAAAAATGAGAAAAAAAAGTCTAGTGCGGAAGTAATTTGGATAGAAAGTCTAGTCTTGAGGGTTATTTGTAATTTTTTTTTTTTTCTTTTCTATTTTTTTTTTTTAAGATTGAATCATGGGATCCACCATATGAGTATTTTAAGAAAACAGAATTTAGATTTTGGGTTCCTACCGTGTTCTTAGGTAAATATTGAGTGAGTGTGCATATATATGAAAAAAGAATATGTAAGGTGGGTGATACAATAGTATAAGCTCAATATCTCAGATTGAATTGCGTCAGACTTCAACAGTATTTTAACTTTAAATTTTATTTTAATTTTTTTACATCTAAATCACTTGAAATATGGAGTCATACACCACAATCTAGAGTTTAGTAATCTAAAAATATTTACCACAAAACACCTTTAAGTGGTTAAAAATGACTTTTTACGATTACATCTTAAGGTCCAAATAATAGATTTGAAAATTTTTCAGCATAAAAAACAGTCTCTTCTAATAAATTGAAAAAAAAAAATAGCATAAATTTTTTAGATATCTAGAGCCTCATCCTTATGTAAACGGTCTCCTTACTTCAATGTAATAAAATCCTTATGATCGACTCACACAACAACAAAGTGGCGGTATGAAGTCCACGTGGCAATGGACCCCATAAGGTGAAGACCATGTGGCATTGGTCGTTATGTATGAAGAAACTATATCGGATCGATCCAAATCTCATGATTGGTTGCGATATGAATCACTACTGAAAAAGCATGATCCAAATCTCATGATTGGGTTGACCGGGTGTACTTGACCTAGGTTTGGATATGTATCTACATCTTAGACGTAAACCAAGTTTTGTTCGGAATCTAAATCCATCTCAGATTTTATGAAATTAGATATGGGTTATGACACAACAATTAACAAAAATATTTATATGTCAGGTTCGGATAAAAATGAGAATGGGCTAATTATTAAGTCTTGGTTGAAAATTTTTCTTTTTTACCTATTGTTCTAGATAATCTATTACTAACAACTTCTTCCCAATTTTTTCGCTGCAATATAATGAAACAAAATAAAATTTTAAATTCATAATCTCTCTCAAGCAAAAATAAAGAAAGGTCACTTATGACTATCAAAAATATCTTCCCTATGGTGACTAGTTTCATGAATTATGATCAACAAGCAATGGGATTATTCATGAATACCAAAAATATGTTCCCAGTTACTAGTTTATGAATTATGGTCAACAAGTAGTGAGAGCTACAAACATATTGGTCAAAGTTTTATGATTACCTTATTTCAAACGAATCGTTTACGTGTAATTTTTAAGTATCTTTATGAAAAATTGATCACATTAGAGCTAGAAGCTAAGTCCAATTTGAGTTTGATAAATATATGGCTTGTGAAGTATGCAGTTTCATATGCCCGATAGATTTCCCCATTGTTGATTGGAGATTCGAAACCGATATTAAAAAAAATGATTGTTTAATTATCTATAGAAAAAATCTTTCACGAGTCAGGTGCAAGAGACCGATGATTTTTAAGATGGACATCCTAAAAAAAATCACAAGGTTTATACGATGTAGAATTTTTTTTTTAAAAAATCACATCTTAAATATCTTTTTTTTTTTCATGTTCATGATCATCTTAACTTATATCATGAATCCCTAAAATTTAGACATGCATTCCTAAAATTTTAGATTAAAAGTCAATTTCTAAAATGGTTTAAGTGGGGGCTGCATATGTATACTATGTATCAACTTACTTATAGAAACCACATCCTTATCTATACATTACATTATTAAATTAGAGGTAAAGGATAAACCCATGTCTTAACGATAGGGACCCTAATGCTATAAAGATTATAGGATAAGTGACTCTTATTGTATAAGCCATATTCCATATCAAATTAGAGGTAAGGGATGGACACATGTCTTAATAATAGGGACCCTAATGCTATAGAGATTATAGGATAGGTGACCCTTGTTGTATAAGCCATATTCTATATCTTTGGGTGAGGAGAGAGAAATAGAGATTTTGTACTCATCTTTTAGAGAGAGAGGTGTAAGTACATAGGTTCATTTGCAGGATTTGGATTGCCTTATTTTAGCAAAGCAAATCACAATAACAAGTAGAGAAAATCAAGGGGCTTTTAGATACAGAAAATAAAGGCGATTTGAGATAATAAGGAAATTAAAAGATTTTAGAAGAAATATGAGAGGTACTCACGTTTGGAATAGCCAGAGAGACTCACAAAAGTATCCTACATTATCTTTAAAAAAATCAAAGAAATTTGACAATTTATAAATATTGCAAAATTGTAGAAGCCTGATTTCTTTTATATCACTCCACAAATTCCTCTCTCTCACCACGACATCTTATATCTCTCTATCTCTTCTCCACTTGTAATTTTTCTCTTCCATGACCTGTCACTCCTCTCAATGATTTCCTCTCTCTGCCTTTCTTTTTTATCTTTTTTTTAAAAAAAAAAATAGTTTATATAAATAAAATTAA